GGCTCCCCCGCTGCGACTGGTGAGTAGACGTGGCAACCCTAACATATAATCATCATTATCATAAAGTAATTAAGACAGTTTAACACATACAGCTTTAAGTTACTAATCGTAGCAGCAGATAACACATAAAATTACAAAAAATACATGAAATTTTTCACATCAGGGCAAGATTTAGTCATGCTGGGGGAAAGCCAGAGAAAGTGGGCAAAAGGAAGGTTAATCGGAGGGTTTTTATTCTTCTCTGTCAGGAGCCTCAGCCGTTTTCAGGCCCTGCGGAATCGTGACAGGTCTCGCGGGGCCCAAGTATCAGCTGGAGGAGCGTTGGAAATCCTGTGTCCACCTCGAAATAAAATCCTGTGCCCTACTCATTAAAAAAAAAATACATCCACTTAAATCTCCAGTAGTCATAGGGTTGCCAAGTGACTTACGGCTAAAAGCGGGGGAGAGTTGGTCCCTGGCCAGGACATTCGCGCACCGTGACAATGTCACCCGGAAGTGACATCATCACGTTGGGCATGTTGCCAGCTAATGCTCTAGCAGCCAGCCTGGAAATTCTATGGTACCATAGAGTTTCCAGGCTGATTGCTAGAGCGTCAGCCGGCAACGGGCCCAACGTGATGACGTCACTTCTGGGTGACGTCATTGCGCTGGGCATGTGGGGGCGGGATTCTCCCCGCCAGCCTTTCCCCCTTTGAGCGGGGGAACCTCCACCCTCCCAGGGGACCTGGCAGCTCTAAGTAGTCAACCGGAAGCCTGACTAGGCAAAAACCCAACCTGGGCCCACCAACTTCCCAAAAACACTTGGCGGGGGCACCCAGTTGGAGACCCCTGGTTTAAGGTGCTTCCTTGTCATGGGTTAAGAGTGGGTCCTGTCTGCCTCTCCCTTCCCAGGTGAGCTTCAGCATCGAAGCCAAGGTGCGCGGCTGCCCCCAGGAGCGGCAGAAGTCTTTCACCATCAAGCCGGTGGGCTTCAAGGATAGCCTGACGGTGGTCGTGAACTTTGAGTGCGACTGCGAGTGCCAGCAGAACGCGGAGCCCGACAGCCCCTTCTGTTCCTTCGGCAACGGCACCTTTGAGTGTGGCATGTGCCGGTGTAACGCGGGCCGGCTGGGCTCTCACTGCGAGTGCTCCGAGGAGGAATACAGCCCCTCCCAGCAGGACAACTGCAGCCCCCGCGAGGGGCAGCCCCTCTGCAACCAGCGGGGCGAGTGCATCTGCGGCCAGTGCGTGTGCTACGGCAGCGACTTCGGCAAGGTCTCCGGCAAGTACTGTGAATGCGACGACTTCTCCTGTGTCCGCTTCAAGGGGGAGCTGTGCTCTGGTGAGTGGGTGTCATGCTTGGGAAGGGGTGTCATGCTGAAAGGGGAATCACTGCTTAGGGGGTGGATGGGTTCCCACTGCCAGTGGTCGGGTAGTGCTTCAGGAGGGAAAACGCCCTCCCAGGAGCCTGCTTGATCAGAGACGAAAGGGTGCAAAAGAAGCACACGTGTACACTATGAGAAGTAGGGTTACCAACTCTGGGTGAGGACATTCCTGGAGATTTTGGGGCGGAGCCTGTGGAGGACAGGGTTTGAGGAGGGGAAGGACTTCAGCATGAACATAAGAACATAAGAGATGCCAATGTTGGATCAGGCCAAAGGCCCATCCAGCCCAACACTCTGTATCACACAGTGGCCAGAAATACCAGTGCCATCAGGAGGTCCACCAGTGGGGCCAGGACATCAGAAGCCCTCCCACTGTTGACCCCCCCAAGCACCAAGACGACAGAGCATTACTTGCCCCAGAGCCCCTATCTATACCTTGTGGCTAATAGCCACTGATGGACCTCTGCTCCATATACTTATCTAATTCCCTTTTGAAGCCGTCCATGCTTGTAGCCGCCACCACTTCCTGTGGCAGTGAATTCCAAGTGTTAATCACTCTTTGGGTGAAGAAGGACTTCCTTTTATCCATTCTAACCCGACCGCTCAGCAATTTCATGGAGTGCCCACGAGTTCTTGTATTGTGAGAAAGGGAGAAAAGTACCTCTTTCCCTACCTGCTCTTTCCCATGCATAATCTTATAAACCTCAATCATGTCACCCCTCAGTCGTCGTTTCTCCAAGCTAAAGAGCCCTAAGCGCTTTAACCTTTCCTCATAGGGAAAGTGTTCCAACCCTTTTATCATTCGAGTGGCCCTTTTTTGCACTTTTTCCAAAGCTATAATAGCCTTTTTAAGGTGTGGTGACCAGAACTGCACACAGTATTCAAAATGAGGTCGCACCATTGATTTATATAGGGGCATTATGATATTGGCTGATCTGTTTTCAATACCCTTCCTAATAATCCCCAGCATAGCATTGGCCTTTTTTATTGCAGTCACACACTGTCTTGACATTTTCAGTGAGTTATCTACTACAACTCCAAGATCTCTCTCTTGTTCAGTCTCTGCCAGTTCAGACCCCATCACCCAGCCATTGTGGATATACACAGCCATACACACATGTATATGGAAAACGATTTGTTATAAATGTATATACTGAAATGGCAAGTTTGCACTACAGTGGGAAAGATAACACAGTAAGCAATTAACAGAAGAAATGCCCCCCCCCCAATACTAATGTACCTGTCACTAATTACTTCTGTGCTTACAACACCATTGACTGTATACCTGTGATGAAGTAGCACCTGAATACTTATTGGAAGATTTCATTTCCCTAAGTAGAGTTGGTTGTTCAAGTAGGTATTTGTAGAACTGAAGGCATGAATAGTCATGTAGGTTATATTGCAGTAACAGAACACCCTTTATAGCTTCAGTGGTAAATCTGTTCCTTTCATCTGTCTACTGGGCGTTCATTAAAGAAATATTATCTCAACATTTGCATTATATCTTGAAATGAAGAAGAAAAATTGTGCTGTTTTAAGCAACACAGAGCAGCAGTCTGCATTGCAGCACTTTTGAAAGTATTTAACCCGCTTGTCAGTAACTGGCACACTTTTGAAGTCTTCATCTATCTGAGCACTTTCAGCAAAAGTCTTCAAACTACAGAACTGGTCAAAACATTTTACATTATCCACCATCATGTCTCTATCTCTCAAGTTTGTTATGCCATGCTGAACGTAATCAAATGGAAGTGTATCCGTTAAAGTCATCCAGTGAAAACAGTCAGACTCATGAAAAGAAACAGTTTCTGCAAATATCTCAAACGCACTTTGGGTTTTTTTGTTTTTAAATCCCCAAAGGGATATTTTTATTTTGCAATGGACTACAAAACTACAAAGAAATATTAGGAAAGGGACTACAACTAAGGATAAAGAAAAGAAAACAGCACTAAACTAAAATCCCAAGAGGAGGAGATCTTTTCACTGTTAATAAAAATGTTAGTACAATATACTTGTAGAGTTCTTGCTTATAACAATTCACTATTTATATGTTAATTTGTTAGTTGTTGTGAGAGAAATCTCTGATCATCTTCTTATTCTTCGCTTCAAAAGGCCATTTTCCAAGTCCTTCTGCCTTTACTTCGGCTTTCTGTCTCTAAAATCGTATACAACTCTGGAAGGTCCCGCACCCTTTTCTGCAGTAGAGTCCTCTTCCGTTCCCAAGGTAGCAGAATCACTAGACTTCATTTCTTCCTCTTTGGACTCTTCATCTGTTCCCAACTGACGTCGCAAAAATTCTTTAGCTTTAAAAGCGGAGTCTATCTTCTCTCTTCTATAGTTGATCTTAAAGATGACAACTTCCGGGACCGCCCATCGTACGATATCCCATTAGTTTTAAGGAAAGAAATTAAGTCATTATAATTTTTTCTCTTTTGTCTAATTTCAAATAGAATATCCTTTAAAGTTTTAATGGTTACATTCCCCATTTTCAGTGGAGTTGCTGATGTTGCTTTTAGAATAGCATCTCTGGTTTGTCTTCTTGAGAACCTGACCACTATTTCTCCAGGTAGACTATTTTTTTAAATATAATTGGAGTATGCCCTGTAGGCTGACTCCATTTCGTTTACAAGTTCATTCGCTGTTAAGCCTACTACTGGAGTGATGAGCTTGCTAAACACCCTCTTCAGGTCCTCCCGTTCCGTTTCAGCAACCCCCTGGAACCTGAGAATCATGTTTGCTTTTTCCATCTGTAGCTGCAACACTCGATTCTCTTGACAATTTTGCTTTGTTTCCACTTCTCCCATTCTTTTCTTCAACTTCTTGCTTGTGGTGTCTATCTCTTTAATCCTCTCGTTTGCCTGCTCCACTTTTTTCTCCGTTTCGTTCAGCTGGAGCTGCTGTGCTGCATAGTTTTTGTTCATCACGGTCAATTGCTGGTTAATACCATCGAGTTGTCCCATCACCGGCTTAAGCATATCCACCAAGAGTTTAATGACATCTGTTCCCTCTTCCGGTTTCGGACTCTGGCTGCCTGGTGGTTTTGTTTTAAACTTTCTTTGCTGGGCCGCCATTTTTGTCATTTTGTTTACAGTTCTACCGCTTCTTCCCGACTCAAAAAAACTCGCCCAACGATGCCGCAAATCAGATAAGTCTCTCAAAACTAATTCAATTTATCTCCTCCCCTCTCCCCCTTCATGTTGCTTAGCAGTTAATTCGCATAAGAGGCGTCCCTCTTTGCAGTCTCTTTTATCAGCAGGGGGGGGAATCACTTTTAAAGTACTCCGTTTTATTCAGAACTCACGTTCATTGTCGGTCAGTTTCTCTGACCGCGCTCGGTTTATACGCCATTCCACTCGATCTCTGGTGCTTGTCCTGGTCAGACCAGCTTGTGCCCAAAGGCCACTCAGCGACTGGACCGTCGGGGCGGAGGGGAGCCTCAATTTTCTGGCATTTCGCTGTCGAAGAGGCTACCCTTCAAAAGTCCCCTGGCCTGGCTCCGCGGGGGTGTCACTTGAGGTGGCACCCCTCCATGCCGCTGGTGTGCAATTCGCCCTTCCCCAGTGTGGGGAGAGCATCTGCCATCGCTGCTCCGTAGACCGGAAGTCCCCCAAACACACTTTGTACAAGTAAGAAGCTTCTTCCATAAACAGACCTTCTTTCCTTTGCTTAGGATCTCTTTTGTCTTCAGTGAAAGGAAGGCTGCTTCAATTCTATGTGGCAACATTTGGCAAACGGACTGCAATACAGTGGAAACCTCCAAAATTGGATCCCCCCCCCTTTCTATTTCCTGGATATTTGTATGGAACATTGACATTAAGGAATGTAAGTGCCACAGATACGCTTCTGCGAAGTCATTTTCAAAGGATTTTTTTCAATATGAATGGTGGATTGGATTGAGACAGGGGGGAAAAGATTTCACACTAGGAAAGATCTGCAGTAACCATTCTGCGGCAGGCAAGATTGATCAGCGATCTTTTTCTGCTGTGTGACAATAATTGTCTGTCATTTCTATCAATGAATTCACAGTAACTTGTGTGATTTTCTGTTCTCACCACACATATGGAAAAATCATTGTGAATCTTCATTCTGATGCATTCTATGTCTACGGACAATGTGTCTGGCCCCTGCTGTATACAGTTGTGAAGGATGTCTGTTGGGCAACCAGTACCGACTAATTCTCTCTTTC